TACATTGACCTTCGTATATAGGATGGATAACGTATATCCGAATGATGACGCATACACACACAAGTTGAAGAAAAGAGATAAAATAAAGATGTATGTTAGAGTGCTCTCTAACAACTCCGCTACTGAAAACTTGGACAAGACGGAGCGTCATGTCCTTGTGTGTCGCAAATCTGACATACAGTAGACGAATCGGAGCTATTTATACTAATATCGTGAGCTGACAAATCAGATGAAGCAATTGCATTAACTAAACGTGAATTTGATTTAGTACGATATTTAGAACTATTGTGATATTGCTGTGTACGGATTTGTTGACGATTATTATCAGTAGAAGTTTTACTATTAGTTGATGATATATGTTGATTTGTATGATAAGCTTGAGGTTTACTCAATTTAGATGAATGAGAAGAAAAATTTGTAGATGAAGATGTTACTGGATTATTTCGAGAATTTCTTTGAGTATTCCAACTATAGTGGTTTTGAGAATTATTGTAACGATTTGACGAGATATTATTCCAAGAATTCTTTGGTATACTAGATTTCATCGGTTCCGAATTGTAATGAATATTACTATCGATACTGATGTTAGAGAGTTGTAATAACTCTTCGATCTCTTTCGCAAATTCAACGAACTCCGCCGGTGACTTTGGTTTTCGTTTACGAACTTCCAACTGTATGGTAGGTTTCATCTTATTTAACAGATTTTTAAGTTTTGTTGATTCACTCATACTAGAATCAGCTGTATTACAGAGTTTCAAAACTTCGTTATAGAAATTGCGAACTGATTGGTTCTCACCTTGCGAATAAGAGTCGAGAGTTTTAAAAGCTAACTCTTCAGAAAATGAAGATGTGAATGCTTTTTTTTATTTCTTGAACGAATACATTCCAACAAGTCAATGAACCTTTATTGTTTTTGAACCACTGGAGCACATCTCCACGTAGAGAATATGAAATCAAGTCCAGTCGACTACATTCAGGTACATGAGCGATTTGCATTAAATGATCAATCTCGTCTACCCACTTAATGACATCATCCTTAGCACCACGAAAAATTTTCGGGTGTTTAATAAAATCGGTTACGATTGCTTTACGTAAATCACTGACTACTGATTCAAATGACATTGAACTATTATCAAAATTCGGCATAGCTGATTTAAGAATTGACACATCACCAGACGTATTGGTGGTATCTTTATCAACGATATTAGTAGGAAAAGATACTGATGATTTTAATAATTGATTAGAATCTGTATTATTAGTAACATTTGCTTTTAATTCAACAATTGGTTTATCATTAGATGTAGAACTTTTAACAGATTCAGAAGTAAGATCGGCTTGAGTTTGAATAGATACTGATGGAATTATATCGTAATGAGTCATCAAAAACTCATAGAAATCGTCGAATGACGTGATGGACCGGCGATACTTAATGTATTTGCGCTTGGCATCTCCTTGAATTAACAATGGAATAGCTTTGTATCGAAATTGACGAGAAATCTTAAATCGATTGAACAAGTCCTCAGTCTCATCGAGCCATTCATAAAGCGATTGTTTACCAGAAAAAGGAACGAAGTTAGCACTCATAAAGGATTCAAATGAATCGTCATCATCCTGGTTGATTTTATCCTTATTTTCTGGTTGACTATAATTTACCTTCTCAACAACTGTATCATCATTAGAGGAAAATTGGACTGTATCAGATGGTTCTTTTTTGATAGGTCGGTTCGGAGTAGGTATAATTGCTTTACGACCACCTGACTTTGTAGCTGAACTAGCATTAACATCTTGATTTGTTGTTGAGGTAAGTATAAACTCGGATGAGTTCGTTTGTAAACGTAACGAATCGAGAGAAGTCGACTTATACCAAACTTTATGATTATTATTTTTTGAAACACGATCTGAAAGGAGTGTTGAAGTGTTTAGGGTAGAAATTTGGATCTCCCCAAGACCGTTACCGACAGGTGATTCTCCCATCACAGACCGTGACAGACAGGCCCGGGACCCATCATAGACCGTGACAGACAGGCTCGGGACCCATTACAGACCGTGGCAGACAGGGCTTGGGACCCAGCACAGATCGTAACAGAGAAACTGTAGTTCTAAAGCATTAGATAAACCGTTAGCTACAAATATATCGCGAAGAAATGGAACAAAACAATTTCCATTCAACTAGTAACAATAGATCCATCGTGTTTCACATTTTCAATCCCGTAAGGGATTGCGCTAATAGCTTTTTATTTGATATAGATCAGTAACGATGATAGAAAAAAAATACTATATATATACGTAGAATGAATACGATATATATATAAAGAGACAATAAATTAAAGTAACAGAAACGAAAGAAGAGAAGAGAAGAGAAAAAATATGTATAGTTCTAATTACTATATGTTAGAATATATTCTACTCTTCAAATTTCTTAATTTCAAATT